GTAACCGTATCCGTATCCGTGACTTTTTTGGCGGATCTTTCAATACATAGATGAAATTCTATATAGGTGATTTTGTATTCACTGTAAAACTCTTAGGTATGTGTTTGTAACACTATAAACAGCAACTTTTTTTCTTGCCAACGTCAAAATGAAAAAAAAATGGTCCTCCATTCAAATGACCAATCAAAGGTTTTAGTTTGTATGGAGAAACATTTTTTTTTCTTTCGTTTTCGGTGTTAGTCCAGAAGAAAAGTTGTTGTTTATAATGTTACTAATATGCACATCAGAGGTTTTCAGTAAATTTAAAATAACCCGGAATAATGGTTATTAGGTAGCTATGAAAAACTATTGAATTCTGTTCAGTTTACTTTTTATTTCTTAAAACAAATATTTGGCACCTTTGTATTGCAATCATTTATCGTACTACACTAAATCAACTAGGCAGGTCGTAGGTACTTAAAGAGCTGTCTTTATGATGAGATCAATTAAACATCTTTGTATTAGCTTATTAAAATAATGAAATATTTAAATATCAACGGCAAAGCGTCAAGTGGCGACAACTATCAAGGTCACGGGCTCCGATTGAGTAAGAAACTTAAGATCCGTATCCGTATCCGCGGATATACTTTGTTAACGATCCGGCACATCACTAGTTTAAAATAAACAAAGAATAAATAAACGTTTGTATCTTACATAACGACAAATGCGATGGTAAAATTATACATTAAACATTATGTTTCATTAGTGTACATACAGTAATAAAATACCTCTCCCATTACACGCCACTTAATCGATTTTGTGTGCAGTTGTTAAGGGTATTGTATAATAAGAAGATAAGAATAATAATTAATTTCAGATACTTGATCATATAGTTTTTTACAATTATATAGATGTAGCTAATAAATCACATGTTTGCTCCCAATACCATCCAAAAACACTGTAACAAAGTTGTTACCTGCTGAGTTATGAATATTTGCTTAATACATACCTTTATTACCAACTAGTGACAGTATATTTTACGCCAACTTAAATATTTCTCTAGTTTCTAATAGTATTTACTAGTAGATAGGACTTTTTATTACTCGCCTCTCGATGCGACTTTACCTTACCACTAAGAAATCTAAATAATATAAGCTATTATTGTGACTACATGCTGGGCGCTGTCTGGCGTAAGAATAAGTATAGATAATTACTTTTTTAGTTGTTAAATGATTGAAATGTGTTCAAGTTTTTTAATATTGGTGTAATTAGTGTGTGTAATCGTTATTAAGACATTTAAATAAGTAGTGATAAAAATTAATATAAGTGAACTCTAAAAACATCAGTAGACTTGACTGAGCATAGCAAAAACCAATTGCAAATTACAACGTACTTAAACTTTAGTGCTAACATTATAAATAACCCTACAAAAGTAAAATATTAGTGCGACTTTTGCAAAAAAGTGATAATCGAAAGTGAAATAAAACATTTGACATTGAAAAAAAATCTTTATCGATGACTCACTATAACCGTTCCAGTTAATTAGAATAGTGTATCTGTTACCTACTGAAGACTAAATTCCTTGGAAATCTAAATCGACATCGTGGTGCAGTAGTACACAGTTTGAAGGGAGCTGAACAAATGTGTATTTGGGATGTTTGCAAATAAAACATCAACATTGTGAGAAATAACTGCCACTACTAATCATATATGGCACACAAATTAAATTATCGCGAATTAAACATCCGCAGTAAATTTCAAAAAATCTCAACAGAGGGCTTTGACATCTAAGCAGCAAAATTCATCAATTGAGAAAAATGGGTGATAACGAGAACATTACTTATAGAAGAAGAACTTGTAGAATTTATTCGTTTGATTCACTGAGTGAATTCACAATAACAGCATTAAGAATTATTTCTTATAATAAATAAGTAGATGGTATAACACTATTGCATTGGGCTAAGCCTGTAAAAATAGTTGTTTTTAAAGAAAATAAATAAATAAATAAATAATAACTCAGCGACCTTATGAATAGTAACTGCAAAACAATGTTAGACTCCACGCTATGAGTATAACTGACAGCTTAAACGATAGCAGCGACATTTTAAACGAACTAAGCGAACAAGTGAAAACACTCACTCTCGAATTAATCAGTGCCCACCAAGAAATTGAGAATTTAAATGAAGAAAATTGCCGTCTAAAGTCCGACCTACAGACATTAATAAAAACTATAAATACTTACAAAAAAATATGTGCCACCCAAGATAGGAAAAGTAAAATGCCTACTCGTAAAGTGCACTTACTTTCCCAAAACAACACATTGTCCTATACATTATCACTGAGCGATTTAGCGACTAATGCTAAAGTCTCTAACAAGCAAACCCAAACTGATAGTTTCACTGTGGAACCACCGATAATATAACAATAATTGAGGATGAGTTCTCAGATCGATTAGACTACCGCACCGTCACTACAAAATACCTAATTGTAACTCAAAAGATCTCCTACAGGGTATTGATAATTAATTAAAAAAACTTCGAAAAAAGTATTCAAGTTAATACTGCAAGAGATAGACTCTATTGTCTTATCAATCAATTTAAATTACTTGTAATGTCAATCACATTTTTAGGTAAATTATTGGATATGTCATTTATATTTTTGTAAATGTCAAAGGAATTATCTGACAACGTATTAGCAAAGTCATTATGGGTAATGTCAATTTGCTCAATAGAAGCAATAGTTTGAGCCAAGTTTTTGGCTGTAATTGAAAAATAATATGATAGCGAAATTGCTATCTGTTTCTTATAATAATGAGAAAGGTAATGTCTACCTTTTGTCAGTGAAATATTATTACTAACAAGCTTGTTAGTGTCAATTAAATGTCATTTATTATAATAGGGTCCATTTATTTGGCAAGTTAAATTGTGCATTATTACATTTGAGTTATGTCTAATATTTTTTCCTCCTCTGACAACCCTTTACTAACAGAAAGTGTACACAACACAATTTTACTTATGATGATGTCGGACTCGAACCGACCAAAAACCGCACGCCGTCTCGGGTGCCAGTAGCCGGGGAACCAGGTGTACCCTAGAAAGGAAATCCCTGGTACCGTATCACGGGCCATCCATGGCGCGTAGATGACCCCCTCCTGTGTAAGAACCACCCTGTTCCCTTTGAGCTCCCAAAAGGGCTCGCGCGCTCGGCAGCGCGTCTCGCCGCCACTCCGGCCTGCTTATGCTAGGGTGACAGATGAAATCACCTCACCTGAGTCGTCTGCGGTACCTGGCCCGTGCCCGGGCCTGGCGGGCCGGGAGAGTTCTAAAAGTCTCCCGGTCCCTCTCCGCCATCTCCTTCGCAAGCATAACCTGCTCGCAGAAGGAGACGGCGGAGTTCCACGCACTCTCGGTCACGCCTCTGCTCCACTCCCGCCGGGCATTCTGCCAACGTGTGGAAGGCCGTGTCCACGGTCCGGCCATCGCAATTTGATTTTTGTACAATTTGTATTTTTGTATAGGGGAATCCTTGATTTCTGGTAAAATAGTTGTGTTACATATAGGTGGCATATTTGTAGAAAGTAGTATGTGCTGCCTCGGGGCCGTCTAGAGAACACAAAGACTCATTACAATTACAGGAGTTTACCAACCTGCCAATAGCCAGCACCTGCTCCCTGCTCTGTTTTTGAGATATTGCATACTTTTAATTAATTTTTTCAAGTTGTTCATGAGGACGATCTATCTCACATTGCAATTCTCCTGTATCTTTTACAAATTGACTCGACATGTAGTTTACATAGTCACCTGATCAGTTAAATGAAGTTTCTGCCTGTTAAGTAACATACTATCAATAAAAAAAATATGTTTGTGAATTAATTTCTTAGTTTTTGTGATTTTTTAAATTTTAAGGTATTTATTTATTTTTCAAGCTACATTTAACAATTCTGCTAGATTTGCAAGTACTAGTATCATCCTCACCTGTGAGATCTGTTACTATGGATGGATGAAGACTATCAACTACAGCCTGATCCAGCCCCGTTGCAAACAACTCCTCGAACAAACTTATTTCAATTTAAAAATAGACCAAAATAATAATTATTAAATAAAGCTTACTACTCGTATTCTATTGAAGATTGCTCAAATGATAAATTAACATAATTAGTGTAACACAACATTTGTTATTATTTTATCTATTGTTACTATCTTGACAATTAAAATCTACTTTTGGTAATTTTTAACCTTTTTTGATAATTTTAATCTAAGTGCCTAACAAATTAAAACTGTTTTTTCTTGCATGTGTTAGTAATGCGCTGATATCTATCGACATATTTTGATAATTTAAATGTATTCATCATCATCAGCCTATCGCAGTCCACTACTGGACATAGGCCTCTCCCATTGCACGCCACTTAGATCGATTTTGGGCTTCAATTGTATTCAATTTAATTAATTTATGTCATTTCTGTATGTATAATTATTTGTACACTGCATAATGTGGTAGGACATAGTGTACCTCTAACATAATCTAAGACCTGCAACTAACCTATGTTTCCGCAAGTAAATGATGATTTTGATACATGTTGAAAAAATCATAGAACAGCTATAATTTGTCGATATCCGATTAAAATAACTGATCTATGTTTTACTGTTAGATAAATTGATAATTATAAGTAATTGTTTGAAAATTCGTTCGTTACTTTCGAGGACATACCTATGCTAACAAACCAACAGAAAGGTGATTTGATTCTCTTACACCTGTTTGGACACCTCTTTTTTTACTTTTCTTTAATGTAATAGACAAGGTTATGTCTTATAATAAGTATAGATTATATTAATAAAATAATAACTAATTTTAGTGATTAAAGTTACAAAATTCAGTATTTCAATTACATTTACACTCGGTTGAAAGCTTTAAAATCAAAAGTTCCTTAATTGAAATACTTAGATAAATATAACAAACAAAAATGAACAACTTATTTTTAATTTAGTTATTTTTCTTATAGAGTACCTATACATCTATTCCAGGTCCAATTTTGGCAGCTGCTATGTGCACAGCCGGATTTATATGCGGTGTCTATCATGCGTATCATCTATATCAAGCAAAAAAAAGAAAAGAATATGTTGATAATCTGCCTGAGGAATGGGTGCAGGTTGGGTACGTAAAGGGGCTGAATGCATACCCGGTAAAGTCATGCACGGGTGTTCCACTTAACAACGCTGAATGTTCTCCGCTGGGACTGAGGGATGATTTTATTCGTGACAGGTTAGTAAACGATTTGCTTTAAAAAAATGTATTTCCTTTACGGCCAAACATGTAGGTTTACGTCAAAAAACAAAAAATGAAATAAAACAACAACACGCCTTTTAAGAGAACACAACAAAAGGAATGATCAATATGAAAAGTAAACTCTACTTATGACAGATGTAGTAAGTAGCACTAGGTAAAATAATTGCATAGCTGCATTGAAAAAAGTGCAATGAACATATATACCGATGATACAATGATGGTCGAAATATGCTGAAAGTAAATAATAAATATAAACAGTGAAAAAATCAATTCACATATTACATGCTGATTGATACCAGAAATAGGGCTTAACTCGGTGAAAATCAACTAAATAATTGTTTAACACCGGTTTTCTGTTGTATCACTCCATTCGAGCTGGTGCAAATGTGCCCAAGCATTATACATATATTATTTAATTTTACTGTCTCATAGAAAACTGTTCATTTCGATAATTTTACTATTTTATTATTTTCCAGAATATTGATGGTCGTAACCGCAGAGGATAACGTTGTTATCAGATTTAAAGCCTACCCGGAATTGATAAGAATAAAACCCACATTTAAAAAATCAATTTTAACATTAAAACACCCAAAGATGCAACCAATTGTAATTGATTTAAAGAAGGTAAGATTATAATGAAAAAATATCGTAAGTAAATCTTGACAATACATTAATATCGACATGTTTTAAATAAGTGTTTAATATGATTTAAACTCACGGCTAACACAAGTACCAAGTTTTATCACCCTTTGTAATATCATCATCATCTGTTGTTAATGTTGTTCAACAGTCTACTGCTGGACATAGACCTCTTCTTAAAAGGAGGGTTTGGCCTTTTATACCTACCACGCTGGCCAGACGGGTTAGTATAGTATAAGGTTTGTTTCAGGGTTTCCTTCTCTTTGCAGTGCTATTGTCCTGCGTAGTTTGCTCCCTTAGTCAGTCTAATCTTCATGAGTCATATGCCGATGCATAGCTATAATTTATATATTTCCATATCATAGTTTAGTGATAGACATCGAAGCCAGCGTAACCATTGCACTGGCTATCATACCATACATAATGGTAATTGCCTTTTTTGAATAGAATTCAAAAAAGTTTTGTAAATTTGTTGAAATTTTATGATATTATACATACTAATCATTTTGGTATTATACCTCACGTCACGCTACATTGTACATCAAGTTTATATACAATGTTGGGGCATATTTTTCAAATGCACTAGTGAGCGAATTTAAAGTTGGCACATGCGTAGTAATTAGATTTAAAGTTTAATTAGTAATCGTCACATCAACAGCCTTTAATAGTTCACAGCTGGACATAGGCCTCTCCTTAGAAAGGAGGTCCTTAGTAATAATAATAATTGATTACGTAAAATTTCAGGTAAAGGCAAAGGAGAAGACTACACGCGCAACAATTTCATCAGCGTGCGTACCGGTTTATGATTGCGGCGATGAAGTCAATGAATGGATCACCAAGTATGTGTTCAATACAGGACATTATTTTATGGTCTTTACCTTTAGAGTAAACAGAATTCGTAAAAAATAAGAGAAAAATCACTTATGTGTCACTTATCTAACTAAGGTATAAAAGTCAGCTCACGTTCAAATTAACAGTTGTAGGAATTCGGTAAAGGCTACAGTAAGTTATCTCCAGGCATATTAAATTTAATGTTTGAATATAGCATATTAAAATTATAAGTCAAATAGAATAAGAGCTTCCATTTAACTTTAGTATTGAATAAATTATGAGACTAGGTTATGTTTTGTTAGGCCTAAATAAATACTCCATTCTAAAATTTCACCCTTCGCAGCAGCCAAAAGCCAATCACTTCTTATTGTTAACTATTCAAATTAATGCCTGTGTAATGCGTTGTACCCGTTTGTGACTAATGTAATTTTTAAATCACCGTTGCCGTCAATTGTACGCTAAATCACATAATACTCGTACAATAGTAGATATATAAACCATCTTTGCTTCTGCTTTGTTCTTATTACAATTGTATTCCATCCTAGATCTATTTTAGAATAAAAAAGCAAATTTAAAGGATAAATAGATGTAAAGATATCTTAATTGATCATTTTTATGACCCGGGTCATATTACGTCTAGATAGATAATGGCGTATCACGGGCAAGAGGGAGTTACTTGACGGACATTAACAGCGCGTTTAGATAATTGACGTGTGGCGTATGAATTATAACTAGTTTCCAAATAAGCTTTACTTATTTATTTATACGCCAAATACGTATATTAACTAGCAAATTATTGTCATACGGATCTCTGTTTTGTTACGTACTTCTAGTGTATTAGACTCAATTTAGTAGGTATCGATATAGCGATTACAGTGTATTAACCAGAAATCCATTATTTTTTTAATAGTCTCATAAGTCTAAACATCGATTTGTGAGTTTGATTTGCTAATACTTCGACTGGTGTGAGATTAATTCATATAGACTTTCATATACATGCATACACTTAAAAAAACTACAGGATCTTCTTACATGCAAACCCCGCTCTAGTCCACTCATTGACCACCTAGTTTCACTCAACTCAACTCAACTCAACTCAACTCAACCCAACTCGTAGCACATTCCGTGCACTCAATAAGCCTCCTTTTTTCTCCTATCATATGATTATTAAGCTATTGCATAGCTTCTATCGAGGGCCTTGAGCGCGGGGACCGAATCCAGAAATTCCGTAACGAAAAAACCTCACGCTAAAAACAAAACAAAAAACAGTACCAAAATCAAATGCTGAACGTCAAAGGAAATTTCGTCAACATAATGCAGAAAAATCTTACATGGATATGTAATTTGATTTAATAATAATATTTTTTATTTATTTTTTAAAAACAAATTGTAATATATGCTTCAATATTTTTATTTAATAAAAGAAAAAAAAATGTTTTCTTATCGGTCACCACGCTCAAAAACTGTAACTTGAATTAATATCAAAGAAAAAGAAATACTGCATAAATAAAATAAATAAATAATTATAATTGCATAAGTTGATACAAAATGCTATGCAATAGCTTTACCGCGGCAGTCCCCGAGTGCCACACGTCTTTTTTCTTCAAATGCAATAGCTATGACAGCCATATCTGGTTATATATTTAGATATAACTAAAGAGGAGTAAAACTGATGAAGAAAGTTGACTGATGTTGATTCGTTGAGCGACGAGACGGTGCTGGTCGGGTTCTAGGTTGTAAAGTCAGGATAGATACCAATACACTTTTTTTGGGTTTTGGCAATTGCTCGTCAACATATAAATTAAAGATAAATCTTCTTAGTTAACATTATTAGTTAGCATTGTGACTAATAAGGCGATAAGACTCACTTCAACAATGCAACAACGAACTCGTTACCAACTGGTATAGGAAGATAAATTACAATGATGCGGCCATCTGTTATAGCACATACTCGTATGTGGTAAATAAACTTGTATGTAGATATTGAAAGCTTCAACCCCAAACAAATAGGATCATTCAGTTGCTATAACAGTCATATCATGAATTTAGTAGTATCAAAAGTGGCAGACGTACGAGAATTATTAAAAATACTGCAAATGTAGTTCTAGAGCATACTGAAATATAGACAAATCAATTTATTTTTTTAATTAGGGCGCCGTACCTCAAAAGGTTAAAAAGGAACCCTTATAAGATCACTTTCTTGTCCGTCTGTCCGTGTCTCACCACCGATTTTCTCAGGAATGGGTAGACCTAGCAAGTTGAAATTTATACTAGATACTGGGGTCTATGGTCCCTATTTGGTAAATAAAAATCAAGATCCTGAGTCAACACGATAAAAAGATATGGGCAAATTTCGATTTTCGCGACTCTGCTGTAAGACCTTGCTTTTACCCAAAATTGACAATTCTAAGTCAACCGGAAGTACCCTTTAGGTTGCATGCGACCTAGAATCACGAAATTTGGCTAAAAGAAACGTCTTACAGCACAAATAAAGGAATAATTCCGAAAAAATAAAGAAAGGTGAAAATTAAGAAAAAATTTGGTACTTACAAATTTTCGCGAAAATCTACTAAAATATGGGTAGGTACGGAACCCTCAGCGCACGAGTTCGACTCGTACCTGACCGGTTTTTTAGATTTTAAAACTATTTTTTTTTTCAGATGCCTGGATGATGAAGATACAAAATTTCGTTTGGTTTATTATGCCTCAGAAAACAGTCGAGAGAGAGCGGGTGACGTAACACGCTGGCCAAACATATATGACGTCCTCAGACCAACCGATACAGTTAGAGTCTTCAATAATAATATAGCTTATAAGATTACAAAAAGCGGGTATGCCGAACCCACCTTGCTAAATGTGATAGACTATCGATTGCTTCTTCAACTGAGATAAATACTTCAAAACACGTTAGACATTAAGTGTTTTGACACACATATATGCCATCCAATATTGGTGTTACGTGTCAAATATTTTTAATTCAATGTTGAATGTTTTACTTGTTTTTAAATAGACTGTCAATTTTTATATTCAAAATTATGAAAACTGAATATGTAACGTCGCAATTATTCGAACAACTCAACTCAACTGACTCACACAATGTTACTGGATTGTAGCAATTGACGTCACTTCACATTAGACACTAATTTGAAAATTCAATAATTTAATAATTGTGTTCAGGGTGCAATAAAGTGCTTTTAAAGAATGTTTCCTGTTAGGTTAATGGCATTTTAATCTATATTTTCACTATTCGTGTTATCAAGACCTTAACTACATCTAGCTGGCACTACGGATTTTCATGCATAATCCCGAATGCATATATTAAATTTGCACAGAGTGAAAATCAAATCCGCTCCCTCCAGCGTACCAGTCGATTGTGGCACATAAAGTCGCCTAAAGATTAAAAAAAAATAGGAGCAAAAAAATTTTAAACACTTAATGATTGAAAAGTGGATGACCACACTTGCGAAAATTGTCGGTCATAACATTTCATTTTCAGATTTTTTATAGTTTTGTATATTAAACATAAGTATACTTGATACTTCCAGGGTGCCTTTGCTGATGAAGTTACTTACCACGTTTTAAATGAAGCATCGGTTGACGATTTAAATTTTCGCCTCAAATTAAGAGGTAAAGAACTTCAAGTTGATGAAACTCGCTTTCGGGCCAATATCTATGTCTCAGGGTGTAAACCGTTTGATGAAGACAACTGGAAATATGTAAAAATTGGAGAAAATGTTTTCCAAGTTATCAAGCCCTGCATAAGGTTAGTGCCAAATAGTATTTAATATTTTATCATTGTCAATGATGTATTTAATGTTTTATCACTGTCAATGTGTAGTCGTCGAACCATGCGATTTGCCGTAAATATTATACTTGTAGTACCGATTCCGACTCAGAATTATTATTAATATTATAATTATTAATATCAGCCATAAGAACAACAACATGGTTACGTAAAGTATTATACATAAGGACTGAACTTAACCGTAATAATATTCACGGTACTCTTGTACATTTTTGCCCACGCTACAATAAGTCAGGTAACTAAAGATTACATAAAAGATACTAAAATAAGCTTTATACAGTGTTGCCATCATATGCTTCGCACTTGCGATAGCGATGTGACGTTTCAAGTGTAGTAAAATATATGTAAAAAATATACTTTCCAAAAGTGCAAAAACAATGATATTATCGATTGTACCTACTTAAAATATTTTATGACCACTCTAGTGACTTTAAGTGTGATGATGGCACTGTAACAAGCGATATGTAATTTAAAAACTATTTTGAAATAATTAGCTTGCGCATTAATAAATAACCGTTCTTTTTAATTCTTAAGTTTTCTCTTATTGTTCTCAAATTTTCTTGTTCTCATTGTTAACATGAGTAACATTTGTTACGCTTTTACGCCTACACCATTAAATTTTAAATGTGTTAAAAATTGACTGATGGAGAGCTACATTATCATTTTACTGCGATAACCGAAATAATACGCGTGGCCACGGGCAAAAGCTTGTTTATTATAAATGTGAAAGTAATTTTGTTTGTTTATTAATATTTAAAAATATATTTTTCCAATGGAAAGGGACATTATCAGAGAGTAACATAGGCTACTTTACATAGGGGCATACACGCGGGCGATGTCGCAAGTAAAACTTAGTATAACATAATTTACGAAACAACGGTCTCGAAATTACGAATCGAAATCGAATAATTTACGAATAAGTTTCTCTAATAACAAATATTAATTTCAGGTGCATAGCCACAGTTGTAAATCCTGAGACTGGTGTTCGTGATAAGAGTCTTGAACCACTGGAAACATTAAGGAGGTAAGGTTTCTGTTTTATATTATTTATTTAAGACAGAAAATGACTATTATAATCAACTTATTTGTATGTAATATGTAAAATCACTTACACTTTATATAGACCTCTTTCGGAGTGAACTGTAATCGAGGTAAAATGTGCTAATTTTAAACTCTTTCGTCCTTTAAAAACAAATACCTACTCTGAAACTCGACTTTATTTGTAATCGAATCAAATACGTCCTTACTATAAGATACTTCTCAGTTTGACAAGCAGCAGGCATCTTACAATTAAAAGTAAGATTCTCGAATGTTCCTACTTATAATTATTTGAAAAAACTTTTTAAATTCAGTATTTTCTTCTGACTGTGCGACCAAAAGAAAATGATTTTTAAAAATTGTTTGGCTTATGATGTTGAAGTGATGTGCAAGTTTGCTTTTAACTTTGCTAGTTTTTTCCTAAAAATTGCCAAATAGGCAATAGAGCTGGTTTTATATTCTCCAAGTCAGAGCATTATTACTTGTTGTTTAAAGTCTGCTCAATATTAGTGCCATTAAGAGTAGAGTTTGAAAATTACACTGCTTTATATTCTCTTTAAAACCTACATTTGATGGATCAGTTATAGTTGTAGATAATATAATTCGTATTATGACTCGGTGGTGCAGTGGTAGCGTATGCGACTGCGGTCTCGGGTGCGATGCCCGGATCGGACTAAATGTATTTAAAAGGACTAAAAGTGTTTAATAAAAAGTAGTAAAGCTATAAGTCAATCTAACTTTCATAGTAGAAGCTCTGTTTTATTTGAAACTAGATTGCGTTGTGTGTCAGATATCCAAAATATTTAAATATCAATTTGTACATTAATATTAAATGAAGTAAAAGTCGGCCGGTGTCCATGGAGTACACTTTTATACATTTATACTAATGCTTTAGTAATACGAAGTCTTTGTTACAGTTATCGCCAAGCTACAGATCCCGCTGTACGTAAGGAGGCTGGCAACGCGCCGCTGATGGGCATACATATGGCACTACGCAGTGAGCCTGGTGGCATAATCTCTTTAAATAACCCTATTTATGTTGCTTATTAGTAAAATCTCTGGACATCTTTGACATAACATTTGTTAAGTACATCTACGTTGAAAAATATTATAACATTGACAAATTAATTAAGTTAAGTACATATTGTAAATATGATCTTTGTTTTAATGCGTATAAAAATGTAAGTTTTTTTTAATTTATTGATGCATTTGTCTGAATGCAAATCTGACCTGATGGATATCAGGTCAGATTTGAGCTAAGCGAGGGCTGACGTTAGGAAATCCAAAAAGTATTGAACAAGATTTGAAAGAAATCTCAACCGTAAAATATATTGAATTCTATTTTTGAAAAGCGAAAGGTATATGAAACTAGAGTATGAAAAAACATTACTGTTTAAACGTTCTATTATACGGTGCAGTTCACAATGTTTTGAACGTACTTAAATTAAATACTATTTTATACACTCGTTAAGGTAAGCACAACAAATATTAATTGTTTGATAAAAAGAGTAAAATAAATTTATAACTTCGGACAGCTGTGTACTCATTCCATAGTGTAATAGTAGTACTCACATGATTATTTATTTTATATTCGACAAACGTGCAGATGGTACACCAGAAGACCAATTCTCGTAAGAAAAGTGCAGTCTCAATTCAGTTCCGATCAACTCAATCTCACAACTGTCATAAAAGGTTTTTTAGTCGTAAAAGATTAGGTAAACATCGTGTGTTATACCGTATTGTAACCAAAAATTGAATTACTCTGCTAGCCTTAGTTAGTTAGACCTAATTTACAACGAAAATACCTATTAAGACAGTTGTGAGTTCGAAAGCTGATTGAGACTGAATTGTGAAGGATTTTTTGGTACGAGAATTGGCCTTCGGATCTTAAGTGACCACATTGTTAGCAAAGCGACAAAGGGTAAACATAATAAAGAAAAATAGGCATACACCCTTTTAAACAGAGAGGCACGACGGCCACAAAATATGATGGGTACAAAGTGAGCTAGGTATATTTGATTTCTATAATATGTATGGCAGAATTCTAGCTGACGCAAGATCCTATAGTACGAGTATACTGCCCCAGATGTCACCTGCAAGCTAATCAGCATTATATTACGTTCATTATACCAAAGACTACATTTCCAGAGGATATGATGAGCAGATTGTTCACAGTTTGAGTTAGGTGTTAGGTGGTGTGTCAATCACAATGGTGACTCCAACTCCACTAATTTAAATGAATACAGTTTGCTCTTAAAGTTACCATGACCCATAAGAAATTGAGTTACACAGTGATCCACCTCATGCCTTGTCCTCGACAACCGTTCGCGAACAGATGGAAAGAACTGGTAAAGGTGGCGTCCCTTAGATGATTGGGTGTTATTACAAAGTTGGATGTTATTACATATTCTTTTTACTAGATTTTCCAAGGACAATGGAGTATGGAGAAATTAAAAGCCGAACATACATTCGACGGAATAGACCACAAAAAAGGTCGTATCTTAAAAAAATCGTTAGTGCTATAATAAAATTTCTGTAGCTTAATGGTTGGTTTTACGTCTACCCACAGTCCCATAATTTTTTGATGACTTGATCGAGGTGGGAAGTTAGTCGTTTAAAAAGGTATATAATTACTTTTATATTTTTTTTTACCAAATCAATTAAATTTTAAATAAAAAATGTTATTTCGATGTTATGCTGTGTGCACCTTTAATTTAACGCATACACCACTACTTCGTAGCTTGGTTGAAAGTAATGATTGAACATAGTACTCTGTCATAATGTTAAGTAGTGTTGTGTGTGCGCGAGTGTATGTGTGCATGTTCGGCATACATGAGGGCGTACATATCTGTGATTTTATAATATAGCTTCTGTTGTTTTTGTAGTCATCATGCGAACCTACGCTCGCATAAAAACCTGAGTGGTTTAAGCGAGTGGCCTAGTTTTTTCTTAATAATGCACATTGTAAACTTTTGATCAATAATAAAAAATAAAAAAAAACATATCCACTTGTATGAATGTTTTCTTGTAAAATGTTCAGTATGGATGTATGTGTAGTACAATGTCCAGTATGGATGTAGTGAACATTGTGTTAATTAAATAAAAAAAATAAAAGTAAAATAATATAATTCTTTTTCTTCCTTTTAAAAACACACCTCCCGCACTAGAAACATATCCTGTGTCGCGGGGGACTTCACAATTCACATACCTTAATTAAACGAACACGAACACCCAGACTCAGAACTATAATTTGTGGATCACACAAAGTGTTGCCCCATGTGGGGATCGAACCCACAACACTGTAGGAATTATTGTTTAATCCTTTTTTTCAGATGTTTGGATAGCCAAGACAATTATCTAGGTTTGGTTTATTATCCAGCAGAAAAGAGTCGCCTGATGTGTAAGGATGGCGAGAAACTGTTTGATAAATTAAAACGTCATGATTTAGTAAGTTTTAGAGTTATTTGTGATTTTATCAGTATTTTAAAATATATTAGACCTTTAATGGAGAAGTGACAATGTCACAAACGAATCACTTAAATATGCCCACCAAATTTTAGCAGTACCACTAACTGAGCTGTTTAATTCTATACTTTTAAGTTCTGTAACGCCCATAGAATGGTCAGAAGCAGATATCATACTTATATATAAAAAGGGCGATCCAAAAAATATTAGCAACTATAGACCAATTAGTTTGTTACCAAATATATACAAACTTTTTTCATCGATTATAAATAGTAGAATAAGCCCGATAATAGAAGCAAAACAACCTGTAGAACAAGCAGGCTTCAGGAAAGGGTACTCTACTATCGACCACATCCACACCATCGAGTTAATTATAGAGAAATATCATGAGTTTCAAAGACCTCTTTACATCACTTTTATTGATTACCAAAAAGCCTTCGATTCGGTCACACATACAAGTATATGGGAAAGTTTAAAAGAACAAGAGGTGCCAAATAAATACATAAATGTGATTAAAAGTATATACAATAACAACAAAGGAAGAATCAGGCTCGAAACCTCAGGCCCCGCTTTTCATATAGAAAGAGGCGTAAGACAAGGGGACCCGCTCTCACCCACTATTTTCATAGCCATCCTCGAAAACATCATTCAAAAGTTGAATTGGAGTAAAACAGGACTCTACATAAAAGGCGCCTACCTAAGTCATCTGAGGTTCGCTGATGACCTGATTCTTCTATCAGAGACAGCCAACGAGATGGAAAACATGATAGAATCTCTACATCAAGTGAGTGCGAAAGTTGGATTGGAAATGAATCTAACGAAGACTAAGACAATGACTAATACACGAATAAGACCTATTACTATTAACGGTAACCCCTTAGAATATGTGGAAAATTATTTCTACCTGGGGAAAAGAATAAGTTTCGAGAAAAACAGCAACACCATAGAAATAGAGAGAAGGGTTCAACAAACCTGGAATAAATACTGGAGCTTAAAAGAAATATTTAAAAATAACCTACCAATAACTCTCAAAGCTAAAGTTATGAACTCATGTCTACTACCAAGCTTAACCTATGGAAGCCAGACCTGGAAATTCTCTACACAAGTTATCAACAAAATTAATACATGTCAAAGAGGTTTAGAGCGAAGTATGCTAAACATAAAGATAATGGACAAAATAAGACACACAAAGATAAGAGACATCACTAAAGTCACAAACGCTTTGATCTTTGCTCTAAAAATGAAATGGCACTGGGCTGGCCATGTAGCATGAATGTCTGACGGAAGGTGGACTACACGAGTTACACAGTGGAAAGGACCACCAGGCAAGAGGGGGAAGGGGAGACCCTTAGCCCGCTGGGAAGACGATCTGAAAAGAGTAGCTGGCATAAACTGGTGCTCCGTAGCACAAGATCGACAAAAATGGACATCTTTGGAGGAGGCCTTTACCCAAACCGGGATTCCTGTTAATTTATAAATATTTTAAACACATACTTCTATTACTAACCTAATTTAAGCTAACTTACTACTAAAACCAAATTTGTGTTTACTGTAATATTATATTTACCAACTATTGTAAAACAAGAATTAATAAAGGTTTATTATTATTATTATTATTAATGGAGAAGTGGGTTACGAAGTACAATAAGAATTTTCTTGAATTACCAGTGCAAAAAATAACGATTTTTATAAAAAGAAAGTACCAGCTTTATAATACTAAAACAAAAGTTTATTTTATGTAGTAGATGTTATACTCGTACATTTAGAATTTATTTTAATTGATATTATTATGAGTCATCCGGTAAACATATTACATTATTTTTACTTCCAAAGTGCCTTCGCCAGTACGCACATATTATGTCATCAATGAATCGTCAATCAATGATTAAAACTCACGTTCAAAAGGACTTGAAATAAACTTTAGGCCTAATAGGCCTAATCTTAGCTTATGAAAATATGTGAAAATTCGAGACAATTTATTCGAAGTTATTTTCACCTGCTTTAGGTAAAGTTAATAACTTTAATACCGATTAAATTTTGTATGTAATGTATTTTTGCAGAAATATATTCACATAATCTACGCTAATATAATAAAACTGAATAGTTTTTTGGTTGTTTGTTTCAAAGCGTTAATTTCTGGTACAAACAGATTTGATTGACTCTTCTTGTATTAGGTAGAGTATTTTATGAGGAATACTATAGGCAATGAAACATTATGCAACGACCCTTAGGAAACGGGCAGTAACCCATGTAAAACTGCGGAGAACGGCTAGTGCCTGTATAATTAATCTATACTAATAAAATTACTTGTCCTGACTGACTAATTCATCGGGCCACAAACTTGAAATTTTGTCAGCTGATGCTTTTTATGTTGTAAGCACCCACTAAGAAAATGTTTTTGATAATTTCCTCCCTAAAGGGATAAAATAAGGGATGAACGGTTGAATGGAAGTTCCTCATTTTAAAAGTTAGAAACACGAAATAAGATGTAATCATGCGAGCGAAACCGCGGGCAAGAGCTATTAGTTAATAACAGGTAACAAAAACAGATACTTGTCCATACTAATATTATAAACGTGAAAGTG